CCGGGGGCGCGGGGCAGGGGGCCGTGGGGCTGCTGGCACTGACACCTCCGCTTGTCTGCCAGGTGAAATGTATCCAAGACGCAATTCGCGCCAAGAAGAAAAAATTCAATTTCCTCGGAGAGACGATCGCTCTGATCCCGTCGGTCGGGCTGTTCATTACCATGAACCCTGGCTACGCAGGACGGACAGAACTGCCTGAAAATTTAAAAGCTCTGTTCAGGTACGCGCAGGCAGAGAGGTCAGTATGTAACTGGCAGTCGTCATAGCATTTACCTCTGAGGTAACACTCACCTGCTACATCCATAACGTGAACTAAGCCTTTGCTAGTGCAAACAAGGACATTTGTGTGTACTGGCAGCCCTCGTGTCAGGGAGACCTTGGCACCCCAGGACAACCCTGCTCAAAGCCCCTGGGATGGTCAGGGGCTGGGACAGCCGGGCCACTCAGCCTGGAGAAGAGGATGCTCGGGGTATCTAATTGCCACCTTCAGCTAAAAATCCAACTGAGAATGAGAAAAAAAGATGGTCAAGCACTGGAAGGGGTGCTCCAGGGATGCTGTGGGATCTCTGTCCTTGGAGGAACTCAAACTGTGACTGGAGAAGGCCCAGGTGGCCTGAGCCCTGCTTGGAGCAGGAGGCTGAACAAGAGACCTCCAGAGACCCCAGCCGGCGTAAATTACTGCCCAATTCTCTGATGCTAACAGCAGCAGGGAACAATTTATGTTGGAAACTTGAGTGCAAATTCTTGCTGGCTGTGGGAGGGCAAGGGACGTGTGGACGTCCGTGCACAGCCCTGCTAACCTGCCGCTGCTCTTCTCCAGACCCTGCGCCATGGTGATCCCCGATTTTGAACTGATCTGTGAAATCATGCTTGTTGCAGAAGGTTTTATTGATGCTAAGCTTCTAGCAAGAAAGTTCATTACTTTGTACACACTCTGCAAAGAGCTACTATCTAAACAGGTAATTTAACAATATTGCAAGGTTCTTTAAGATGAAAGAGTCCATTTGAATTTCAAACCTGACAGATTGTAGTAGGATTGCTGGTAGTAACGTTCTGGCTGACGTTCTACATAGTGCAAGTCTATGGCTGGACAAATTCCACTTCCACGCTGGTGCATCATATGGCATATTTCTGCCTTCTGGAAGAAATCAAGCAGTCCAAAAATAGAATAGAATAGAACACAGTCAGTTAAGATGAGAGCATCCAGATATTATTCATCTCAGCAGAAGTGATTTACAATAAAAACGTGCTTCCAGGAAGCAAGCCAGACTGCTGTTCACCTCGTGACTGGCTGGGGCTTGTCTTGTAAATAAGCTCATTTTAAGTCCGGTCTGCTGGGCACTGTGTGGATAACCTGGGTGTGGGGCAATGGACAGGGTGTTCCTCTGCAGCGTTGTTTAAAGCAGTTCTCCCTCACCAAAGTGGAATTGTAATACTTTGCTGCCTGTTGGCAGGACCATTATGACTGGGGTCTGCGGGCTATCAAGTCCGTGCTGGTGGTAGCTGGCTCCTTGAAGAGAGGGGACCCTGGCCGTGCTGAGGACCAAGTTCTGATGAGAGCTTTGCGAGACTTCAACATCCCCAAGATCGTGACAGACGACTTGCCCATCTTCATGGGGCTGATTGGAGACCTGTTCCCAGCCCTGGACGTCCCCAGGAAGAGGGATCTCAACTTTGAGAAGGTGCAAGCCCAGGCGCGGCACCAGCGCCAGAGACATCCCAGGCCTGGCAGGGTCCAGAGGCTGAAAGTCCATTCGGCGCTGCTGGGGGTGGCCACCTCGTCTCTGGGGTCTTGCGGAGGCCATGACAGCTGCCCGTGGTCAGCGCCTGCTCTCCCTCCCAGATCATTAGGCAGTCCATGCTGGAGCTGAAGCTGCAGGCAGAGGAGAGCTTCGTGCTGAAGGTGGTGCAGCTGGAGGAGCTGCTGCAAGTGAGACATTCCGTCTTTGTGATCGGCAACACCGGCTGCGGCAAGTCCCAGGTAGTGGCCAAACCACCCCTGAGGGCACGAGTCCCCTCCTGCCCCTGGCCAAGCACATCCCATGGCCTCCCCTGTCCTCTTGGCAAGGATGTTGCCGCTGGCCCCCACCAGCCACGCAAACCCGCAGCCGCACCAGCAGCAGCGTCTGGGTAGGGGACAGCAGCATGGCCAGTGTCCATTGCCACGCCGGGCCCTCCAGCACCATGTGTGTTGGGCTCAGCCTGTGGAGCGGAGCAGGTTTGGGATGCACAGCTCAGGGGCTACCCGGGACACCCGTGAGCAGAGCGGGGACAAGGCAAGGAGCAGGCAGGGGCACGCTCCCGCTATGCCCTGCGTGCTGCGATGCGGCAGGACAATGCCGGCTGGCGGGGCTCCGGGCTCCCACAACACCCCAGCCAGGAGCTGGCTCACAGAGGGAAGTCCAGAGCCTTCCCAGTGGCTGTCCTGGGTGCTCTGCAGCAGGTGGGAGCAAGGCTCTGTGCCCCCGGCCGTGGGCAAAGACTGCCAAAGGCTGCAGAACCCTCATAGAAGCAGTGGCCACGGCTGCACGGTTGCCCTCTCCGCAGGTGCTGAGGTCACTCAACAAGACGTACCAAAGCATGAAGCAGAAGCCGGTCACTGTGGACCTCGACCCAAAGGCTGTGACCTGCAATGAGCTGTTTGGGGTTATTAATCCGTCCACGCGAGAGTGGAAGGATGGTGAGACACCAACACTTTTGAGCGGTCGCTTACCCCGGATGGGAACTGGCCCAAAACATCCTTCAGCAGCGGCTGGCACATAGGCAAATACCTTCATAAAGTGTGTCTCTGTAAACACTTTGTGATGTGGTGACGGAATGGGAAGACCTTTCCTTGGGGCTTTTTACTGGAGTGTGAGAGAGGAGGAACATGTTTCAGGGAAGCACCCAGTCCTGCATGTCCCCCCAGCAAACGTGCCATGTGTGGAAAGGACAAACGCACGTGTCTCTCTATGTGGCAGGTCTGTTTTCTTCAGCGATGCGTGACCTGGCCAACATCACACATAAGGGGCCCAAGTGGATCATCCTCGATGGAGATATTGACCCCATGTGGATCGAGTCCCTGAACACAGTCATGGATGACAATAAGGTTGGTGCCATCACACCTCAGGAGCTTTGCTCAATCATTAACTTGGGGTGATCAGCTTGTATTCAAGCCTGGGCCCCAAGGTCAGGGCATCACCCCATGACGGGCCGCTTCTCCCAGGTTCTTACCTTGGCCAGCAATGAGCGCATCCCCCTCAACCCCACCATGCGGCTTCTCTTCGAGATCAGCCACCTGCGGACCGCCACGCCGGCAACTGTGTCCCGGGCAGGAATCCTCTACATCAACCCCACGGACCTGGGCTGGAACCCGTGAGCCTGGAGAGGGAGATGGATGGGACGGGACGGGACGGGATGGGGTGGGACGGGATGGGTGCTGGCCCACCTTGCGCTCGCCTGCAGCCCTGCCCGTCCCTCCCGCAGCGTTGTGACCAGCTGGATTGAGACGAGGACGGTGCAGTCCGAGAAGGCAAATCTGATGATCCTCTTTGACAAGTACCTGCCAGTGTGCCTAGAGAAGCTCAAGTCCGGATTCAAGACGATCACCCCTGTCCCCGAGATCACGGTGATACAGACGGCGCTGTACCTGCTGGAGTGCCTCCTGACGCCGCAGACCGCCCCGCCGGACTCGCCCCGGGAGCTCTACGAGCTCTACTTCGTCTTCGCCTGTGCCTGGGCCTTCGGCGCGGCCATGTTCCAGGACCAGGTACGGCTCTGGGACCAACCGTTCGGCGCCTGCCCACACGCCAGAGCTTCGTCGCTCGGCCGCATCCCTTCGGAAAGTACTAAAGCAACAACTTTGGCTAGTTTCTGAGTTTTTCTCTGTTTGGTTCCCCGCAGCTTGTGGATTACCGTCTGGAGTTCAGCAAGTGGTGGGTGAATGAGTTTAAAACCATCAAGTTTCCTTCTCAGGGGACAATTTTTGACTATTACATTGATCCGGAAACAAAGAAATTCATGCTCTGGACTGAAAAGGTGCCAAAATTCAACCTCGATCCCGAAGTCCCTTTACAGGTATTTCCCACAAGCTTTCTGTGTTTATGTGTTTTATTTGTTTATTACTCCCTGGTCTTCCCGTGAGCAACACTGGGCAAGACCCCGCGCCTGGAGCGGCGCAGGGATCGGGCTGGCTCTGCCACGCTGCCGGCAAACCCCGTGGCTTTTTGTGGTTCTGCTTTACCCTGCAGAAACCTCAGCGAGAGCTGCAAGTTGCAACTCTTCTTTTTTAATTTCATATTAACCTGTGGCTTCATAGATTCTCATGAAATAATTATAACTATTGCCTGAAAGCAAAAATGTACTTCAAAACTTTATTTGCATGTCTTTTGAAATGCTCTCCTGAGGGAGGGGGGTTGTGTCAAAGATGTTAGGGAAAGGGAGAGGTGCCGCGGCTGAATGTGGCCTGTGCATTGGCTGAGCAAAGACACTGGGGACAGTTTCAGGAACTGCGCTGTGTTGTTCTGCTTTAATAACTTGTTTTTCTGACAGCTCCTATTTTTGGTCAGAAAGTCTTTAGAATAACCAAGCACCTGAGACCTTTTGCTTTAGAGAGGGACCAGGTTTGTACGGAGAGAGAGCATCTTCCATTAGACCAGCTGGCATTGCCGGGAAAACCAGGCAAGGCTTCCGGCGCTGCCCGCTGCTCTAACGGGAGATCCCGCCTCTGCCTGCAAACGTGGACTCCGGCAGCAAGAGGCGAGCTCCAGGGATTGACGGCGCGATTTCCCCAGGCCTCCATGGTGCACACGACAGAGACCATTCGCATTCGCTACTTCATGGACCTGCTGATGGAGAAGCAGAGGCCAGTGATGCTGGTGGGGAACGCGGGGACGGGAAAATCGGTCCTGATGTGGGACAAGCTTGAAGCGCTCAGCACAGATGAATACCTCGTGCAATCTGTGCCCTTTAACTTCTACACCACCTCGGCCATGCTGCAGGGTAAGGTGGGCCTGAGCTGGCAGCCAGCCTCGCGCCGGGCTGTGCCGCACG